TTACAGTATTTTATTACTACGTAGCTTTATTTTATCTCTCCCATATTTTATGTAGTTAGTTAGAGATATAGAGCCCGCTTGATAATATCGAAATCGGTTGGATTGACTGATTATGCTGATTTATGAAAAAATATATTTAAAATCTATTTTATTAATAAAATAAAGAAAAAGTTATATGATAAATAGTTAAAATGAACATCTTCAGTAACTTCAGCCAATACAGTCAAAAAAGAATTTCAATCTTACTTTTTATTATTATAGCCATGATATACTGCTTATTACTTGTGATCATTTTCTGTTGAACTATTTATATATGGTATTTGAAGAGCCAGTCTCACAAGAGCACTCCAATCACAATATAGTTTTACTCGATCCTATCTCTACTTTCAGCGATGGCAATCCGTGCAAACACCATATGACGGAGCAGGCCTCGAACAAGCAAATGCATGTGGCATCATTACTCGATGCTTCTGGTAAAACTTGGGACGATCATGGATATTTTCGACAATCGTGATGCCTCATTAATTCGGAGTATTCCCATTAGTTCAAGACAGGTTCCAGATGCTCGGCAATGGAGATGGGAGGAGGAAGGCCATTTCTCAGTTCGGACACTACACAAAAAAATGGTAGAGGCAAGTCATCCGTTTCATATACAGTACGTACGTGTCTATTAATAACAAGACTTATGTTCGGTGTTCAACTTATATTTTAATTCATATTTTCATGAAAACCTCACACTAATTAATTAAATTCTGATTCTGCGTAAATGCAAAATTAAAAGTTCACAATTTCGTGAAATGTGTAATTCTCATTGATGATGTGAGCAACAAATTTTTATGCGGTTATTTATAAGAGCATTTGCAATGCGGACTGTTTAGTCAAAAAAGAAATACGCCAGCTCATAATTATAGACACTGTGCGTTAATAAAGGGCTCCAATGCATGCGAGTGTAGAAAGTCTTCTACACATGCTGAGTCATCAAATTCTACCTAAAAAAGTGTGTTGATCGTTTTGAGCTTGATACAGAATAGTTTGTACTCATTTTACTTTAATATATATACATAAATTAATTCCACATGGTAATTTTAGTGGGCCGCAAGACTAAAATTTGGCATTATTATTAGAGACCACACGTCTTAGCATTATGGATGCTCTAACAGACTTGTTTATTCTAGACTTCTAGTGGTGTAGTATTGTGACATACGAAGTATATATATACTTTGTAACCGAGTTTGTCCAAACTATAATATGCAAAGAGATTGATTTAAATAAGAGTAAATCACTGATAATATGTATAAATAGGAGTAGGTTGCAAAAAAAAAGTATAAATGGGAGTAATTATATTTTATTTTCAAAATACAGCTTATTTGACTCAATTAAAAGCATTAATGTTTTCTTATTAAAAGCATCAATGTTTTCAAGATGAGTTCTATTTTAGAAAGAAAACAATAATAATCTTACTCGTACGTGCACTTATTTATATTTTACTCTTATTTAAAGAGTTTTTATATAATAACAAACAATCATAGGCATATAGTTTTTGTACTACGGAGTATATCTTATTTGTCAATGTTTTTATTTTGTTTTCACAAATATATTTTATTATTTTGGAAATTGAAAACATATAAAATTTTCAATGTGGAGTGGATTCGTGATGGTCTATAGTCTATACTATCCGGAGTCTCCAAGGAGTGAAGTGGTGGCACTGTCAGTCACTATTACTTCTGAACTATGGTATCAAATTTTAGGATGTGTGTCTGTCACCATTACATTAGTTCTCTCAAGGGTTTTTGTCAAAATAATAATCGATTTTTGTGATCCCTTCATTTGAGCTTAGCAGACCAGAACACTTTTCCGTAGTGCCATTAAGACAACACACTGTTTTGAATTGATACATTGTGATATTTAGGGAGCCTATATGTATGATTCAGTCTCTAGAGTACAATACTTTTTATCTATTGTTGATGATATTATTAGAAGTGTGAGCTTACTTGATGAAAAAAATATTTGAAGTTCCATGCTATTGATTCAATCTTGTAACATGATAATTATCCAATTTATTGAATGTTATGTTAGAAGAATGCGGACCAATAATAATGGCGCTGAATTACAGTCCAATATTTTATTGGATTATTACAAGTGCAAATTAAGGAATATTATTGGAGAGATCTTGTACAGATACATCACAAAAATTGACATTGTAGAGCGTAATCACACACATATTTTAGAAGTTGCTACTTGCTAGAGCTCTTAGACCGTTTCCACTTCGGATTGTCCATTAATTATTGGGGATAGTGCATTTTGAGTGCCGTATATACTATCAATAGATGTTCATATGGGTTTCAAATAAAAGTCTTTATGAAATGTTGTTCGATAAAGCTCCTAGTTTACGATCATTTACAGGTACTTAGAGATGTTTGGCAAATATATACAATAATAAGCAAAACGATAATTTTTTGAAGATGGAGGAAGTTGTGTATGGGACCCTCTAAGACATGCTACCCATGTACGTATGTTGTATAGGACATTACATGAGTAAAAGTTCAAAACATTTTAGATTTCCAATATACTTCCTCCATTATTTAATTCTTACAACATTGTGATTTTTGCTAATCACAGACCTCACTTTGACCACGATTTTCTACTAATATACATAATCAAATTATTACGTATATATAAAATGTTATTGAATTCCTATTAATGTGAATGTCCAAATTATCAACTTTTTATAATGTTTACTAATACATAATTAAATATAATTACAGTCAAAGCAGTGCATTGACAAAGGTAAAAGTCACTGTTGCAAGAATTATTACGTTTCACGTGTATTATAATTTTACGGCTTTGCTCCTTCTTCATAAGAAATATGAGATGTGTCACCTGTGACGTTATTTACAAAAATATAAATCGTATAACTCGATTACACAGGAAATCGAAATATTTCTACCGTTCATAAAACTTACAATCATTATAAACCTTGAATGTTCTTTGACTTTTTCAATTTAAATTAAAAACGGAGTAACATCTACTCTTTCTAGTTACAAGAATAAAGTACATATGACAAGTCAAATTTCTTTCCACCCAAAAAAGTCAAATTTCATGAAGAATCCGTGATACTTTTACCTAAGAAAATATTGCCACTTTGACTAAATGACTTACTCCGATCCCTAGGTGCCACTAAGATCGATCACACACTACATGCCAAAAACAGCAAACCCTGCCCACACGCACATTTACACTGCTTTGTCATCAGGTCAAACACTCAAAGCATGATTGGTGCATTTCAAAAAAAAAAAAAAAAAATAGGTTTGAAACAAGGTAAAGAATAGGTTTTTTGTGATTGGTGCATTTCATATACTATGCGTGGAGTAAGAAGTTACCAAGGTAAAGAATAGGTTTTTTGTACATGAGAAATGGAAAACATGATAAAATGGAAGCTTCAAACATGGCAAATTTAATTTGTGTAAAAAGTTTCAAGATTTAGTGCAACCAAGAGGTAAAGAAGTGAAAAGTACAAATTTGATTTGTTCAACCCAAAATATCGATATCTCATTCACTTAAAGAGACTAAAGTAGGTTAGGTGGGTTCCTTCCTTAATGGAGCTTTTGCTTCTTCCTGGAAATATATTGTGTTGCAAAAACGCGGCTCTCCTAATGTGAGTTGATTCTTTTTTTTTAGTACAATGAGAGTTAATTAGAAAAGAACAAGATTGTCGACTTCTAGTCTTTTTCAATACCAAATAGTAGAAAAAATGTCAGATAGACCATTGTAATATATCAAATGGGTCAATTAATTCATCGAACTAAAACACACTCAATTAAGCCCACCAACATTAAAAAGGCATTCAATTAATTAATTACTCTATCGTGGTAGTGTGAGTGGCACTTGTTAATTGTTTACTTTTACTTTTTTTTTTCTTTCTATCTCCTCCTACTTTCTTCATCCCGAGTTTGTTTTCTCCCCGCTTCTTTAATTTCTTTCTTCCTCTGCTTTTTTATCGCCCGTTGTTTCTTTCTTCTTCGGCTTCTTTTTTGTCATGCTTATTTTTTCTTCCACAACTCCGGCTTTGACACCCCTTCTTCTTTCTTCCATTCCGTTCGAGATCATTGTCATCCAACATCCAAAACCCTCTTCTTCTTTCTTAAATATTTTCACTATTATAACATATTCACTTTCAATAAACATTTATTAAATGTCATTTTTAAATAGTTAGAGGATTAAACTTGAGAAAATTAATAGATAAGGATCAAAAGTCATCTTACAATGTCCGAAGAACTAATGACGTTTTCAATTGAATAGGTTTCCATCCCCAGAAAAGACCACAATGGATCAAGATATACTTAAAACGACTCGATCAAAACAAATCAAATCAGACCTAATCAAAATACATAGAGAACAAATATCCCCAGATCAAGCAAATTACATTAGACTTGAACAGAGCAAATCATAGCATATCAAAGTATCAGATAAAAATATCATTCCAATTAAAAATATCATAAAATCATAAATGTCCAAAATGTGGTAACAAAATAATTGAAGGATTAAAAATGACCAACTCCATCGACAACATTCAGACGACTTAACCATAATATTTAGATGGATGGTGAGCACAATTAGTGTTCATGTAACGAATATGGGGTCGATATAGTAATCACACACCTAATTGCCTAAAACGGATTTTTTCCTAATTTGTGAAACTTAAAATAGAAGCGTTTATGAAATACGCAAGACTCAAAGAGCATGGGAGATATTTCAAGTCGGTTGCCTCAACAAGACGGTTCCTTAATCCGTTACTTTGTACCCTTGTCGTTTTCCAGCCGTTGGATTAGCATCTCGAACTTTCTCCAACCCTCCAACCAACTAACTGCGGTTACTTTAACAAAGGTATTGTGTGTTTCCTCAAATACCCCTAGACTTCGCCTAATTACGACCCAGCCACCTTCTTCTTCCCCCCCTATATATGCAGGCTTTCAGAAGTGCTATGTTTGCCAAACTGAAGAGCCGCAGGCCCCTCTCATAAATGATCTGAAATCAATAGATTAGTTTTCTGTTCAATTTTTTGTACGAAAAATGGCGGCGTCTTCAAAAAAATCGAACGGCCCGGTTTTACCGATCCGGTCGTGCTTTCAACACTCTCTCTCGCCGCCGTCAGGCCGATTCTCTTCGGCCGCCGGTATCGCGGACAAGACGGGGTTCGCTTCGTCGACTAGTTCAAGCTTTTGTTCGTCCCCGGCGAATGGTTTCATGAACCGGTCAACAAATACGGATTTCTTGCACCGGTCGACTTCTCCGACGCGCGTGAGCCTTCACGGCTTCGCGCCTCTCGCTCCTGTTCCGTCTGTGCGGTTCTCCATCGGCAGATCTCTCTCGCCGCACCGGTCTATGGCGATTTCGTCGCGTGATCAGGTGTTCCACAAGCAGAATGGTGGAAATACGCTGACGAATCTCCCGAAGAAGACGTGCTTGTGTGCTCCGACGTCGCATCCAGGATCGTTTCGGTGTAGTTTGCACAAGAAGGTGAACAACGCGGCGCAGTCGTCGTACTTCCCCAGCCGGCTGAACGCTCGAAGGTCCGCGATGACTAATTCGCTCGTCCGTATCGGTACTGTGGAAGGAGATCTGGTGAAGCGAGCTTTGGCTGCTCTGATTCGACCTTCGTCCCATCAGCAGAGGCGCCGGTCCGATTTCCAGCCTAGGCCAAGTCGGCTCTCGAAGATGTCGAAATCAGATGAACGATGAGTTTTGAAATTCATTTTGCAGGTTTATGATCTCGGCAGTGCTACGTTAAAATTTTGCACTTCCGGTGAAGAGTTTTCCATCGGTGGCAATTCCGGCTCCGGTGAAGCAAAACAGATGCAATTTAGGTGTTGACGGGATGGTGAAATTTTCAATCTGTACACACAAATTTCACCTAACCGCTTGCAATCGAAGGGGCATTACGGACAATTAATAGTAATCATACTCATTTTTTGTGACAAAAGTAACCAAAATCACTTGAATTTTAGGGAGGAATGAGTTGTGTGTTTGATAGAGGCTTATAACTGACCCGATCCGACCCGTTTGTTCGTTTTGGTGTCGTCTTAGTTACGTCAACAACGCCGTTACTGGTTGACTATTTATGCCCGTTGTGTACACGTTGTCTTCGCCGACTCGCCGTAGTCTTTGGACGGTTTGATCTTGAGGACCAAGTCTTTTGGTAGCGGAATCTATTATCGATGTTTGCAAATACAAAAAGGAAATAGAGGACTTGGAATTTTACTACAAAAGTGGCCATAAACAAAGTATATTGTGACAACAGTGGAATAAATTAAAAAGGTAATCAAATTAAGATATTCTTATTCTTAATTAAGAATTGATAAAGGAATAAAGAAAAGAGGTCCAATATATTATACAGGATTGTGGAGCAATACTGGCCACCACTTGAAAATTAAATGGCAGTAATTGATGGACGTTAATAAAAAGATATGCTACAGCTCAGCACTATAACGCGTTTTTAAGTCTTTGGTGGACTAATTTGTTTTCTAAAATGTAAAATCAAAACTAGTGAGGGGTGGTTGGAAGTTAAGACGCTTATTGGGGCCCAAGTGCACCTAAATAGAGCTTCACGCGGATACAACCTTTTTTTTATATACTTATTGGGACATTTCAAAGGTTTGAAATGTCCCCTTTCAAAAAAATGTTTGAAGTGTTCTTCATTTTGCATTACAAATTGTCAAATTTACACAACAATTATACGCTTTGCGTTACTATAGGCGATAAATAAAGTACGAAATACTCCCTTTCTTCAATACTCGTATCTTACTTCATTTTGGGTTATTTTTACATACTTATCATTCTTTCAATTTTGTAAAAGTTTTTCAATAAATTTACTTATATATTACTCCCTCCGTCCCGCTATGATTATTCCATTTTATCATTTTGGTCCGTCCCACTAAGATTGTCTCATTTCTTATTTGGTAAAGTTTGTGTGGTTCTAAATCATTCCTACTTATTCTTACTTTATCAATTCAATATCAACCACATAACCACATTTTTATTAATAACCGTGTCATCTTCTCTTGTCCCAAACTTAGGGGGGCGGAGCCACGGAGGTAGTATCATTTTCTTTCTACTTTTTTATCCTCTTTCATACTTTTTAATTTAAACATGACGCACTACATCTTTTACATTACTCATGTTATTTTCCTCTTAAAATTCGTGTCAAAGTCTATGATGACAAATATTAGAGAAGAGAGTATAAAAATGTGAGATAACACATAAAAGGGAGTATTGAAGATGAATAGTGATCCTATTTTGTTGCTTATCAGTCTTAGGATGTTTTATTTTGGACTGAAATTTGCTGGTCTGGTCTGGTAACGTTTGTTTTCTATGTATTTTATAATTATGAAAGTCTGGTCTGATCTAATTTGATCTAGTCTGGGACTGAAAACAGTCCAAAAGAAAACATCCTTATATGTCAACTTTATTGTGAAACACATAATTTTTTATTTCACAAAAAAGTAATGTTAGATTTACTTTTCTGATTACATTGACTGAAATTATTGTAAAAGGTCATTTTATTTATTTTTATATAATTTTTCTTAATTATATTTATTATTTATGAACTTCATAAATATATTTAATAAAATAACTAATAAAATAAAGAAAAAATTAGAAGTGAACTTCATTTTTAATTATGAAGTAAACTTCATGATTATTAATTATTTGTGAACTTAATTATATTTTTTATATAAGAAAATATATTTTAAATATAATTTTTATTAATCCAGTCACTTCATCTTGAACTTCATAAGTTTCAGCAAAATCGGCTCATTTAGTCAATTTAGTGTCATCAAACAAGATAGAAATTAGAAGCTCAAGACCTCTACTATAATTTGTAATGCTTTATTTAATTTAAATATTTTTTTATCATAGTTACTAATCTAGTTACTACTTATTAGTTGGTGTTTATATTTGTCATAGTTACTAATCTTATTACATATTATTTGGGGTTTATATTTGTCATAATTACTAATCTAGCTACTACTTATTATTTGGGGTTTGTCCATAAATAATACAAAAGCAAATGCTTTGAAGTTTTGGACAAATAGAACCACTTTTAAAAAATTGCAATAATGAGACTAAACAGTCTAAACTACTACTAGGGAATGCTCCAGACCTTGTGTGAAGAAGAAGACCTTGTGTGAAGAAGAAGAAGATGACACGCCTGCAGCGTCCGAGCATGGCGGCGACGCTGCTTCTCAACGACGAACGTGGCACAATTTCTCGATAATGATGGCAGCGCAGTTGCTCGGCGGCGGCGGCGGCGGCAGTCTGAAATGCCGATGGATCACATCCCTTTGGTTTGCTTCAGTTTGCAGGTCTCGTTTGCCAGTCTTAAATGGCGCTGCTTTGGTCTCGTTCGCAAGTTAGTAGTAACTTAGCAGGTCTGTTTTGTGCCCCTCCCAATAATGGTCCTATTTTTGTCCAATCAAACTCTCAACTCCTATTTTTGTCATTTTTTCTTATTATTTCACATGGTATCATTTTTTTTACAATCCTAGCTATTTCTAAAATTCAAAGTTCCTTCCCCAATGTTGTTACTCATGGGAGTCATTGCCCTTGGCCGGGGGACTTTCCTCCACCACTCACATTGAGTATGACTGAGCTGGTTGCTCACAACAACAACAACAATAATAATGCTAACAACAACAATAGTAATAATAATGATAGTCAGGGGCGGACCCAGGAAATTGATATTGGGGGTGCGATAATTTAAACAAAAAAAATCTAGGCGATTATTATTATAAGTTATAACCTTAATATAATACGGAGTAGTAATTAAATGAAGCATTATAATAGAAGAAGAGACAAATATATTAAAGTTAAAATAGAAGAGACAAATATATTAAATGAAGCATTACAAAATAGTTAAAGTTAGTAAATTAGAATTGTACCCAACGCTTCTTCAACGAGATAAATTCCTCAATCACGGCTTTTTAGTCAAAAGTTTTAGCAATTTCTCTTTCAATATAAACAATAAGGTTGTCTGCAATATACTCATCCTCCATTTTATTGCGAAGCCTTGTTTTTATAATTTTCATTGCGGAAAAAGTCCTTTCGGTTGTTGCTGTCGAAACCGGTAGAGTCAACAAAAGTCGGATCAATTTATCAACAAGCTAAGAAAGTACACTTTTGACATCTCCGTCTCCGCTAATCTTTGACAAAGTTCACCCATTGTAGAAAAATTCGCCAACTTTGGATGGTTTAGAACATTGAGCTTATAATGTTGCAATTGAAACCTCAAGCTCACCTTCTCCTGCTCAATAAAATCAAAGGGGTAATATTTATCCACTAAAGAACAGATATCGTCAATGTTAAAAGACTTATATGAGTCCTTAGGATCCAAAACACCATTAAGAGTAAGAAGATCCATTATCTGTTCACCGAATTTGCTATTCAGCTCCAACAATTATGAATCTATGGCTGCGTAAAACATATCAACCCGATAGTGACGTTCAATATCAAACCCTTCTTGATCATGGCGTTTGCGTTTACCGCATAAGGAGACTTCATATTAGGAACTTCAATTTCATGCTTTGTGCAAAACTCTTTAACAATTTCTAAGAAGTTATCCCATCCACCCTCCCTTAACTTTTGGATCAACATTTTGGTGCTTGACACCAAATGCATAGCATTTACTATGTCTTGGCACTTCTTCTGTATATGCTGACATAGAAGATCTGTAATGCCCATAATTTCTTTAATAAGATGCAACAAGAAAACAAAATCAAAAAATTTAATCTTCTTAAGTTCTCTAGCTGCATTTCCACGAGTAGAATAGTTATTGCCATTCTCTTCAACATCTTCTAAAACAGAACAAGTTGCAGCAAACATCCTAATCAAACTGCAAACAGAACTGAGATGTGAGCTCCAACGAGTTTCCCCAGCTTGTTGTAATGTACCAACCTAATTAAGTCCTCTGCTTGTTTCAAGCTCACCAATTTCCAACATTCTTGCAATTTCAAGTGCTTGAGCTTCCTTTAATTCATCACTTCGTTTGCAAGAAGAATTAGTCACATTAATAATAAAGACTGAATCGATGAAAAAATTGTGCACATATTTCACCTCTCTAGAAGCAGCAACCAATGTTAATTGCAACTGATGTGCTAAGCAATGAACATAGTAGGCATAAGGACAATCATTTAAAAATAATCGATCTTTCCGTTTCTTTCTTCTAGGTGCGCATGTTTTTCATTAGTTTGGTCTGAGCGGTGGGCTGGGATTAGATTTTGGGGTAGGTTAATGGGGAATAAATTTTGGAGTGAGTTGATATAATATTACTTGTAAAATTTCTATTTTTTTAGACTCTTAAACTTGTTCCGCCCCCCTGGGTCTGTACTACGGTCCGCGGTCCGCCCATGATGATAGCACTATATACTTATCTGTTGTTCCAATTCAACCTAGCTAATATATCTTAGTCTTAGTACTAACAAAATAGAGTAATTGAAATTATCTTAGTATTATTAATAGAGTAATTTGTAAAATTTCTCCATTTAATTAAATACCTTTAATTAGATAATTTAAAGAATGGCATGTTCAGTCAAGGAAGCATATGCGGGTCGGAAAGTGAAGAAAGTAGAAGTCCGCTACGTTGTGGTTCTTATGAATAAGCACAGTGAGCTGATCGTTTTGTTTGAGGTCATTTTGTTTGCTATTTTTCAATCTTGTGAGTACTTTCCCCCCCTTAATGAATTAATGCAGCAAGTTTTACAAAATAATACAATCCAAGTGTTCTAGTCTAATATAGGGGCATCATCAAATTCGAAGGACCTAACAATTTCCACTTTGGCTTTGGATCATGTAGTTCGATCAATGCTTGGGTTGTCACCACTCTTCTCCTTCATATGTCTGCCCTTGTGGTGTCCCTTGAGACTGTTGTTATGGATGAGAAGGTTTCTAAGTGTTTTGTCGTTGTCTTTCTCTTTCTCTTTCAATGGAGGTTCCTTTCCACTTTTTGGCAGCATCCTTTTGAAGAGTTTGCTTGTTTTGACTCATCATAGATAGCTTGCATTGAGCGTCCACAATCTCAAGGATGACATCCTTAGTGATACCTTATTCCAGAAGGCTCGGTCCATTGGAAGTTGTGTCCACAATCCTTTTCAGTTCTTTCACTTTACCAGTTCTCTTTCTCCTTCACTCCATTGGAAGTTGTGTCCACAATACCTTATTCCAGAAGGCACCCTCTAAAAGTGGTGATGACGTGGTGGCAACATGTGTACTTTAGTTCGAGTAATGGGTAATTTACCTAAGACAGTCCAAAATATGATAAAAAAGAAGGTGTCACATTTCTTTTGGGGTAGCACAAATCATTTATCTAAGCATCATTAAATTAAATTCAAGGACCTTTGTAAGCATAATTGGTATTAGGTCTATTGGTGATATGCAGAAGATTACGGCTATGAAACTCGGGTGGGAGTTTCAACAAGGGAATTCCAAGTAGGTAGGTCTCATGAGAAGCAAATATGGTAAGAGAGCCCCAGGTGAGTTTAAAAATTATGATTCCCTTACCTGGAGAAGGATTAGCCTCATCTCTGAGGAGGCTAAAGGTATGGTGATAAGGGGCTCTCAGTCTTTAGTTTGGAAACATACTAGATATGGCATTTTTAAATCAAAATCAGCCTACAAAGCATTATGAGCTCATGGGGGTAGGACTCTATCAACAACTAATATATGACATCCTAAACAGGTATCAAAGGTAAAGATCTTCCTCAGGAGGCTCTGGAATAGGGGGCTTCCATTCCCTGAGTAAGTTGCTTCTTTCTCAGCTGTTTACCCGACTATGTGTCATTGGTGTAAGAGAGAAAGTGTATCCCAATACCACATGCTCCTCCTGTGTCCGCTGGCAGTATCAATTTGGAGCTATTTCAATAGTACTCAACAAATAAACAAAGGGACAACCAACACGGTTAAACTTAAGTTGATGCAATGGTGGATTGGTGTTTCGGGAAAATCAATGGATTCAGTATACACAGCCATTTTATATGGGGTTGTCGCTTGGCATCTGTGGAAGACTTATTGGGATTCAATCTTCAATGAGTCGGTTCCAGACAAGGGTAGCATTATTCATCAAATTTGCAAACTTATGTTAAATTGGTGTGGTGCTCATGATAATCTTCATGGAAATGAGAGGATTAAGGGGCTAGGTCTGATACCTCTAGCTTTCAAGAAGAAAAGGCCTCAAATGTTCAGATGGATCAAACCGATCGGCCCTCGAGTGAAATTAAATTGGTGTGTCTTCAAGCATAATGGTAAGTCAGCTGTGGGTTACTTGCTCCTGGATCATGTTGGGAAGATGATTGCATCGGAGGGGTTTCCGCTGAGCGGATTGACGATGGGAGAGGACGAGGTTTTTCATCAGGCGTTGAAATGGACAGAAGGGCTGGGGTTTCCTAATTAGAGTTGGGGCCGAGCTTGGAGTGCTCGAGGTCAGCCTCATATTTTGTCTCGGGGCCGAGGTCGGGCTCGGATGAATCTTCTGTCCTATGTCAATTTATCGTCTGGTGCCCAGTCCTGACCTCGGGGGTTGAGGTCGGGCTCAGCCAAAACTCTGGTGCTTAAGTATTTCGTGATGTCTTTATGGTCTTTGATCAGCGACTATGATACCCTGGGATATATGGGAACATACTCCATCACCCTATTTTACTAATCACTAGAAAGGGAAAATAAGTTTTACTAGCCACCGGGAAGGGAGAAGAGGTTTGACCAACACCTCCAGAGAAATCATCTCGTTTACGGGACCTGTTAGTAGTTTAGGCAGTGCTGTTCTGGGAGCACCGCCGCCTTGCCATTTTTTGATCCCACACAATCAACCTCCTCAACTAACATCCTTTCATAAATATGATTTAAGCTCTCCATTAATGGACAACAAAATGAACGTCGGACTGAGACAGGAAAGAAGAAGCAGCGGAGCTCATGATCAAAAGCCCAAACACGTTTACAATTGGAACAAACCAAACCTCGAACAGAGGAAACTTTGCCGGACATTGAGATAGAACCTTTGTTAGAACCTGATAAAATAAAATTATCTTCAACAAACCCCACTCACTATCTTTTCACAGTAATCAAAGCTCAATTTACGTTGATAATTGTCAGGTCGGTTTTTATGTTTTGGTCTATTTTTATACAAAAATGATCTTTGTACCCACTCTTATACCCACTTTTATATCCACTTATGTTTCTGAAGTGTTTTTGTTTGTCTGTGGACCCCGGTTCACAGACAATATTTTGCACAGACAAAATATTGTTTGTGAATTAGGTTCACAGATAAAAAAAACATTCACAAACAAGGTGGATATAAGGTGGGTATAAAAGTGAGTACATCATTCTATTTCAAATCTTACTCTAGTTTATTCTTTCTTTCTCTTTCGTATTTTTGGCTTGATTATCAATTTCCTTTCTACACTGCACTGCATTTTGACATTTTCTAGTTTTTTTCTTCCTCTCGTATTTTTGTTTCATCTAAATAACCAAATTATGAGATAAGGGTCAGATAGGGTCTCGAACTTGGGAAAAAATGTCAAATAAGGCCATATTTAGGATGCTATGTCCGGATGACGCCATTTGGGGCGGTTCCCGATGGAATTTTTTGATGAAATTTTTTGAGAATCTTATTCATTAAGTCTAGTTTACTCATATCAAATTTAAACTAACAATTCAATTGGGAAGACATTCAAATGAATTCTTGAAGATAACTGCGCTTTTAACTACAGAGTTATCTTCAAGAATTCATTTGAATGTCTTCCCGATTAAAGTTTTAGTTCAAATTTGATATGAGTAAACTAGACTTAATGAATAAGATTCTCAAAAAATTTCATCAAAAAATTCCACCGGGAACCACCCCAAATGACGTCGGACGGACAGAGCATTCTAAATATGGCCTTATTTGACATTTTTTTTATCTAGCAAAATACTTATATTTGGCCGCACTGCAATTTGAAGTGTTCATAATCCCACCGTCTACTGATACATTTTCCTGATTACCCTCCGGAGTAAAACCTGAATTGTACTAGGGCCGTTTCTGAACCTGAAAATGGAGAAAATCAGGAGAGCATCACATGCTGGTTCGTGGTACACTGATAATCGTAAGCCACATATATTTGTCTCTATCATTTCTTTTCGTTATAATTGGTAGTATTTTATTAAAATTTGTTCCTTGCTCTACTTTACAGACCTTATTGATTATCTTGCCCGTTTCTTCTTGATAATTTGGTGCGATTCTGATGGCGTTTCAAGTAATAGGGAAACTAAGCCTAGGACAGTGTTCATAAACTTTTAGTTCGACTCCTTATGTAAAACTCATATCCCCCCTTATTCACTGGGATAATTTCTTCTCTCTTTTTTTTAATCATTGGTAAGGCATTTGTAATTTTTGTTGATTTAAAGATTTTTGTTATATTTGTTGATTTAAATTGGAGAAAACTCCTATTGGTAAGTCTTTTCTTAGTTTCTTGGTTTACACCCATTCTTCCTCTGCATGAGTTAATGAAATGATGGTTGGGAGGTGAGGAACTTAACAAGTAATCTTTTCAGTTGAGTTTGATGAAAAAAATATACTACGTAATCATTCTAGGCACGGATATTTGCCATATATCATTACATTTTATATCTTTTAATAACAAACATGAAGGTCTTTTGAAAATAGAGCATTTTCACCTAGAAGATGTAAATCAGATATTGGGGATTCTAGGAAAATATTTTGCACTTGTTTTGAACTTTAGGTTTAATTTGTATAGAAACTTTTATAAAATACTTTTGCGTCTTGAACTTTATTAAACCTAGGACCTTCACGTCCACTTTGCAGCAGAACAAATTTATTGGGAAAGTTATAATGCATTTTATATTTGCAACTTTGCACAAGTAGTTGCAAATAAATTGCCATGCTATTGAAGAGTATATTACTTTTCCCCTAATGCTAAACCTCATCCATTTTCAGCCCAGAAACTGGAAAAAGAGCTTGATGAGTGGTTGAGAGAGTCTGGGCTGACCAAGTCGTCTGATGTACGGGGTGTGATTGCCCCGTAAGTTGTAATCCTACTCTTTACTTGTAGATTGGTCTAATTAAAATATTCTTTTACCTAATTGTTTTGGGGTGCCTCCGGCTACTAGCCATGCTGGCTATTCATATTCAGGGCGCGCGGCGGCTTTTGCTTTTGGAAACATAGACCCAGCAAATATGTACACTATCTCTTCCTTATTTGATCATCTCTGTGTTCCTCATTGTTAACATGCACTTTTAGCCACACATAACTGCACTTTTTTGCATTGCACTCATCTTACTTGAGTATTGTTTGTATATGTAGTTCTCGGGTCTTCCTGCTTGGCCCATCACACCACTATTACACTGCAAAATGTGCACTTTCGAAAGCCACAGTTTACAAGACCCCCATAGGAGATTTACCTATTGATATGGAAGGTAGTGTACAATTCTTTTACCCATGCGGATGTTTTTCATTTGTAAGTATGCAATGTTCTCCATCAACTGCAAAGATGAAGTTGTCATAGAATGGATGTTCAAGGAACCAATTGCAGTTGATTGGGTCTTGATTTCTGTGTACTTGTCTGTATTTATTTATACAAGTAACTAGTAACATTACATCCACGGACTGTGAGAAACTTCAACAAGTGAAATCTAGGCAGTTCTCGCTATCTGACTTTTGTTAGACTCATTTGTTTTTTTTGGAGTGAAACTGGAAAATTTATTGCCACCAATCAAAGAGAGTACACAATTATTGTATATCCATGGTTAGCCAGGATAACAGGAACCTTTTTGCCTTCTCTCTGGATATGAATTAAACATCAACCTGCTTCAATGCAAATGTGTTTCATCCCCTTGCTAAACCACAGCTCAAGCCCTCCCCTAGTAGATTTGATCTCAACAGAAAAGATAGAGACGCAACCATGTAAGTTGTAACAGCCTGCATTTAAGTCTCCTTTAGCATCTGTAATAACCCGTGTTCCAGCAGCCAAGCCGTCCGTTTTTAAGGCTCCGTCAGTGTTGAGTTTTAACAACAAGGATCTAGTTTCTCCCATTCTACCCTGATAATCTTGGGCAATTTATGCTCAGCATATGCTTTACTTAAAACCAAAACATTATTCTATACCCTGCTTATATGCCAAATCAGGACTATCCCATCCTCAATAGCAACCTTAGTTTTGTTCTTATTTCTAGCACCCCCAAAGGTACCCTATAATCAACAAAGGGACAAGACGTCTCATGTTCTTAGGATAAAATCATTTAATGACTGAATTCATGAAAGATTTCTTCACTGAAGTATATATTGTCATAAATTAACCAATGCATTTAAGAAGTGGTTCCAAACTTCTTTAGCTTTTGAGCAGTATAGGAGGACATGGTTCAAAGATTCTGCATCCTCATACCAGCGGCATTTGGGTCCTGATGAGATGCCAAATTTAGACTGAAGCTTATCATCACTAGGTAGCCAGAAAGTCAAAGTTCTCCTTATTCTATTTATATCCTCTTTATTTCTTCTCAACCAAACAAATGCTTAGAATTTTCTCTAAATCATTAATATAAGGATCCTTTAAGCAAGAAAATATGCCTCTTTAAAGTGAACCTACCTGAGTAACATCTTATTTTGGGCTCACATTTCCTAAGTCATTTTAGCTCAGCTTAAGTGCTTTGCAAAACATGACTGCTTTTTTTGGTAAGTAATATCTGAATCCCCTTTGATGTGATTGACATACACCACACACATTTCCAAAATAAACTATCCTGCTCCTCAAATCATTCTTATTTGGAATGATAATATCATTCCAAATACATGCAGCTCCATGACTTCCATCCTAATTTGTGTTGTCCATGTCAAATGAGTTTGGGAATTTCGGTATTGCACTCCATGGTTTACCCAATGTCCGAATTTGCATCTCATGTTTTACTTTCTTTGACTTTGCACGACAGATAACCCTAGATCAAGTCATTTCTATTAGCTTTTGAACCCATTATTACTTCAATATATCATGTGTCAAAGTCATATGCCAGGGTTTCCATAAGGTGCAAATACCAAATTTCCCCAACAAATTTCTTCAAAATATTTACACAAAGACTTATAGACAGCATATTCTAACAGTCATTGAGGAGCTGAAAGCTTCAGGGAAGTTTGAAATGATGGACCTGAGTGTTGATGAGGCTGAGCACAGCATGGAAATGCACCTGCCATACCTTGCTAAAGTATTTCATGGGTGAGTTTTGGACACAACCTTCTTCTTCTTCATACATGATGTTGTTGGTGTCTGAATTGTTGTAATTTTCTGACAGGTATACAGTGGAAGTAGTTCCTATCTTGGTTGGTTCTCTTAGTCCAATGCACGAAGCCATGTATGGAAAATTTCTGGCAAAATACGCAGATGATCCAACAAATTTCTTTTCAGTATCTTCAGATTTTTGTCACTGGGGCTCACGGTAATGCTCTTTGATAGTATTTTATTACTGTTGGTTTAACTAAATTTAACATATCTAACTTGTCAAAATTACACAACGATTTAACTTTTTTTGATAAATTAGGACTGTGTTGGGACTTGGGAGTCATTGGGACAAAAAAGTGTTCGCAAAAACATTCTTTGGTTAAGTAGGGAGCATGTGTTATACATATACTACCTATGTTTGTATTTTTATATGTTGGGAAAAAGTTTTTTTATACAAAAAAGTGTGATACATATATGTTCGGAATAGTGTTATACAGCTTCTTCTGTGCAAGGTTTCATTACACATACTATGACAAAACACATGGAGAAATTCACAAGTCAATTGAAGAACTGGATAAGAGGGGCATGGATATAATAGAAACAGGAGATCCAGATGCATTTCAAGAGTACTTGTCGAAGACTGAAAACACCATATGCGGACGCCATCCAATAAGTGTTTTCCTTCATGTAAATATCTCAACTCCCTTCTTCTGTTTTAGTTTTGGAAATGCAACTTATATTTTTGAATGCAACACGTATAAAAGAATTTGGAATTGAAGTTGTGCCATAGAAGATCTTTGCCCTTGCCACTTCTTCAGTGTTGTTATGCATTTGACAAATTGCTGATGGTTACTATCATTTCAATTACACAGATGGCAAAGAACTGCTCGACAAAGATGAAGATTAAGTTCCTTCGGTATGAGCAATCAAGCCAGTGCAAGAGCATGAGAGACAGCAGTGTGAGCTATGCATCAGCAGCAGCAACCAAGGTTGATGTTTGAACTTGGAAGAACATCGTGTGCATTTTCACCGACTTATCATGTTGAACAGGGAATGTTCGACTAAGCAACTAATGATTGGTTTAATACTGATGGGTTTTTTACCCTCTTTTGTTTCAAACTTTCAATCTACATGGACGTGTCTTCTTTAATTGTGAGTTAAAAAATGTGAAATCATCTAGTGTTTCAGGTTTGTAGTCATGAAAAGGGTGGAAATAGAAACGTAACTGCGGGTACACCCAGTCTGTTCCCGTGTCAATTCCGCTCCAATTTTTGGGCTGCTTCTGGGCGGGATTCTTTGCCTATTAAAAAAACAGGTTCCTGAACTGGTCTAGTCCTATTTTGGAGGAATACGCGTGGACCCTAACCGGATCCGGTGTTGGTACCGGGTATAATTTGGTCAGAAATTTTAAAATGCCCGTTACGGGCTTGTTAGTGAGCACGTTGAACGCACTAACGTACATAATACTACTATACTTCGTAGTTCGTATGCACCGGAAAAGCAAATGGCAGGTCTTACAGTCTTACTAGATTAATTTCTTAACTTCATGTAGATGGTTTTTTTGAAATAATGTGAATAGAATTTAAAGTTACAAATTAATAAATTTCTAAGTAAAATTTAAAATATTATGATCTTGTTTTTCAGTTTATCGGTCTTATCTGACAATTTCTTAACCAAATATCTAATATTTTATTTCGCACACTGAGCAATGTAATAATCAAATAAAGAAAGTTGAAATTATTTTTTTGATTGAATTTATTGAAGTTACTGCGTGCAAATGATCATTTTATCGATTCTTCGTACAACTTTTTCGTTATTTTATACGGAGTATAATTTTATTTTATTTTTTTCATAAATTATAAGAGTCAGTCAATCCAGTCACTTCAATAAAAAACTTCATACATTTCACCAAAATCGTCTGATTCAACCAATATCAAAGCCAATTTGATGACCATGTTGTTCATCTTATCAATCAATTTTTTCACCAAACATGTGACTTTTGATTGTGTGCTGAGTTGTGTAATAATTAATACGGAGTATATTAAGATTGAAGTTACTTTATTGGCTGAATTGTCTGAAGTCACTGTAGAGTACCATATTAACTATTTTCATATAATTTTTTATTTATTTTATTAATAAAATTATTTTAAATATTTTTTGATCAAATTATTTTAAATATAGTTTACTATAAACTGCAATATAATGGTCGTTTGTTGAAGAAAGTAACTAAATTAGATCAAAATAAAATACATAATAAAATCTTGTTATCACCACCAAATGTGATAACCAACTGGATCCATGAATTTACTAAAACTTCAAATCCTCAAATAAAATAAACTAATAATAATAATCTCTTTATTATAACAATTGAAATACTGAAATAAAATAATAAATAGCTATAAGCCGCCAAAGTTGTTCCACTCCCTCATCATCTTCCTAGGCCTTGGTCTTACCCTTAGTTTATGTACGTGCGAAGAAAGAAAAATGATAAGTTTTAAGCTTACTAAGTCACTATGAATCCACAAAAATATCTGAGTAGTCTATGCTAATTTATCAATAGATAAATTCAGGGTATAAGCATGTCCTGAACAAATAACTAACAAATAACTTCTCAATAAATTCAAAGAGAGATCTCAAAAAAAGATATTTTTTGAAATAATTTCTCATAACTGCTAGGGAGATCTCAAAATTTCTTTCTCAAAACATGTCTGTAAAACTTTGTGAAAGAGATCTCAAAACAACTTTCCGTATAACTTTCTGAAAGACCTTTCTATAAAACGCTTTGTGGCTAATTTTAACTGTCGGCCCGTGACTCAAAGGAGCCAATGCGACAGCTCAGTGGGAGCGATCGAGCGACCCACTAAACATATTGAAAAAAAATTATATGAAAATAGTTAAAACGGTTCTTCACAATGACTTCAGTCAATTTAGTCAGAGAAATAACATCAATCTTAATATACTCCGTATTCATTATTACACAACTCTGCGCACAAAATTAAAAGTCACATGTTTGGTGAAGTTGACTGATAAGCTGAACAACATGGTCACCAAAATGACTCTGAAATTGGTTGAATCAGATGATTTTGGTGAAATGTATGAAGTTCTTTGTTGAAGTGGCTAGATTGACCTAGGCATGGACCGGGCCCAGGCCCAGGCTGGGCCTCAGGCCGGGCCTGACCAGGCTTTTTGGAAGATAATTGAGGCCCGGAACCAGCCCGGTTACCCACCGGGTCTGGGCCGGGACGGGCCTCAGACCGATTCCTATTTATTTTTTTATGCTTTTCTAATTAACCCCCGACCCCCTCCCCCACCACCCAAACCACCCAAAAACACCCAGCCCAACCCGTGAAAATAGAAAAAAATTTGAAAAAAAAAAGCCTGAACCGGGCCCGGCCCGGCCGGTTCCTAATTTGGGTGACCCGAGCCCACCCAACTTAACCCCCGGGCCGGGCCTAACCGAACCGGTCTCGAGCGGGCCACCGGGCTGGGCCGGTTTCAAACAGTGCCGGTTCCGGGCCGATTCCGGGCCGGCGGCCCGACCCTAGTCCACCACTAGATTGACCGGTTCTAATAAATTTTGAAAAAAATGAAAATTATATAAAGTAACGAAAAAATTGTATGAAAAATAGATAAAACGAATTCAGCTAGGAAAGTAATTTTAACCTTATTTATTTGGTTATTATATTATTGCTTAGTGGGCGAAATAAAAAATTAGATAGCGGGTTAAAAAATTGACTGATAAAACCGACAAATTGAAAAACAGGATCTTACTATTTTACATTTTACTAAGCAATTAATTAATCTGTAACTTTAAATTCCATCCACATTCTTCTAAAAAAATCATTCAAAAGTTAAAAAATTAATCTAGTTAGACGAATCATTTGCTTTTGCGGTATATGTTAGTGCTCCGTATATGTTTAGTGTAGAATGTGGCACGTTCAACGTACTCATTAACAAGCCCGTAACGGGCATTTTAAAATTTCTGATAATTTGGTGGAATCATAGTGCAGTTTGGTCTACAGACAAATAATTTGGTGGAACCATAGTGCAGTTTTGTCTACATACAAATAACTGGACAGTCCCGTCTAGTCCGGTTTTGGAAATGCGTTGGGTCCATACTCCATACCTATCAAGGACACACGTACTCAAACCATTTTGAAAAGTATTATTGCACTGAGAAAATTTAAGTGTGTAGTGTTAAAATATAGGAAAAATTGATGGTAATAATTCCAACTATTGGCGGTCTGCTTATAATAATCTCAACTATCGATTATTTTAGAATAATCCCAACTTTAGGGTCCTTCCGCCAATAACAGTCCCTGTAAATAAATTCATGTACTTTCTGAAGTGGATGAGAAGAGATATACTCCGTAACAAGTAATCTCTATAAATAATCTCAACTTTTAATTTTTACGTTTAATTTCTATTTAAAATTCACTTTTATAGAAGGTAATATTTGGTCATGGACCATTATTGGCGGATGGTCCATATAGTTGGGATTATACAAAAATAATCAATAGATGGGATTATTGTTAGCGGACCGGCAATAGTTGGGATTATTATTTTCAATTTTTCCTAAAATATAAAGGGGTAAGGTTAGAGCATCTCCAATGGTACAATGTGCACAGTGCACACGTGACATGAGAGATAGCCACATAAATATTAGTAAATAAATTCTTTCTCTCCTTATTTAAATGATTTTATACAGTATTGGTAAGTTTTTCTCCACAATGTCAAGGAGACCGTCTAGATGTTGACATTGTTGTTGACATTGCAGGAAAAAACTTACCAAAGTTGTATAAAATCATTCAAATAAGGAGAGAGATAATTTATTTGTTAATATTTATGTGGCTATCAATCATGCCACATGTGCACCGTGCACATTATAGCATTGGAGATGCTCTTAGAGTGTTAGACTGGACCTATCTTTTGTTTTAGTACATTGGGTCCACCTATGAGACAAGAACCAGATCGGATAGGGCGGATTAATCCAACGAACTAGAGCTCAATATTCTGGTCCGGTGGCCTATTAACCCACAAATGTGCCCAAATTCAAAAATACTTGGTGATCGATGCAGGCCCAGACCTCAAGGAAAAACTGAGAAACCCAGGGGCAATATTAAAATTGGTGCTACACAAGGATTCAAACCCTTATTTTCAACAATGAATAGTGGCCAAAGCATGAGCGCATTACTTGGATTACTTGGATGACTTAAACTAGTGTGCTCTTTAGATATAAGGGAAAAGGGGCAAATAATGTCACGTACTAACAAAAAAAAGGTCAAATAAGGCTTTATTTAAGAAGCTCTGTCCGGCCGTTGCCATTTGGGGTGGTTCCCGGTGAAATTTTTTGGTGAAATTTTTTGAGCATCTTATCCAGTAAGTCTAGTTTACTCATACCAAATTTCAGCTAAAACTTCGATCGGGAAGGCATTCAAATGAATTCTTGAAGATAATTGCGCAGTTAAAAGCGCAGTTATCTTCAAGAATTCATTTGAATGCCTTTCCGATTGAATTGTTATCTGAAATTTGGTATGAGTAAGATGGTAAAAAAAATTCATCAAAAAATTCCACCAAGAACCACCCCAAATGACGAAGGCCGGACATAACCTCATAAATAAGGCCTTATTTGACATTTTTTGCTTAGTACGTGACCTTATTCGTCCCTTTTCCCTAGATATAATTATACCTCTGCTATATAACTTTTGTAGGCAGGGCATTATTGATAGTTGTTACTTTGATAAATAATAATAATAATAGTAATAGTAATAATATTAGTAATGATGATGATGATGATAAATACTATTTGTATTAGTTGTTCAACAATCGAAAATTTTAGGAAAACTGCTTTATTTGCCCCGATAATCATGTATGTTTAGTATTATATGATTGAAATAACTTATTCCTTCACAAATTTAATTTTCCATATAATTATACATCCTTAAGTTTTTTATTCTTAGTCTATACGATCGGGTCTATCGGGTGTTGATCGGGCTGACCCTCCAAGTCTAGGTTGACCATTGGCCCGATCACTTGTTCGGATCGTGTCCTGGTCCGGTCTTGACAATTAAATACACATGGAATGTAATATCACTAATATGCATGCACATTAGAAGTGGATAAAAGAGGTGATGGATTGGATATGTCACCCACATACGATTTTAGAGTGTACGCCAAGGTGTATAAAATAGGGTTGTAAACGAATCAAATAATTTTTGCTCGATTCGCGATTCGAATTCGTATAACACTATTCGAATTCGAAAAATACAAATACAAATACAAATAAGAATACTAAATTTGATTCGAATTGTTATCAAATACAAATAAGAATATCAGTGTATTCGATTCGAATATTAATCAAATATATTCAATTAATGATAGTCATATTATTATAATAATATTAATAATAATAGTAATAACACTATAATAACTTGTAAAAGATAGCTATACACTCAAAGGGTAGTCCATGTATACATTTA